GAATGAAACCAATGTTATGGAATACTTTATATAGAAACTATCGAATGGGAAAATAATTTGCTCTGTAAACTTTCATTTAATGCACAATTAAAAAAAAAAATGACTGAACTACTGGAAATGCCATGAATGTAACTGGTTTAAATAAAACTAGTTTTCTTGATTTCCCTAAATTTAAGGCATTACCGAGGTGGTTTAAGTGTTCTTCTGGAAACAGAAACATAGCAAAGAATAAACCAACAGAGCGGCCAGTTTTAAGTTGTAATATTGAATTTATGAAGATATTAGCATCTGGCATTTTATTTTACCCTTTCTTTCTGCAGTACCCCTCAGATCTAAAATAAATACTTTGGCATTCATAATGGAGAGTAGAGGAGAATAGGAAATTTTTTTTTAAATACAGAACAAAATTATGTAAATTCCCCCAGACAGCATATACCATGCAAAATGCCAAATTTTATTGCTTATGTTAAAAAGGACCAGAATAACATCAAAAACTAAGTTCTCAAAGGCTCCATTTTAGTCAGTACTTTGTCTACTAAAAATAATAGTTTACACTTGCTGATTATTTTAAAACATTTTTTGTAAGTGGCAGAATTGCTGATTTTGGGAATTTGATAAAGGAAGTGATTTCAGTGACACTGCTCGAGAGTTTATAAGTAATTCTACTAAGGAGGAAGGTGAAGGAAGGAATGAGAGTGGTGAGTATGACATCTACCTAATCAAGAAGTTGGCCTTGAAAGAAAGAAAAGCTTGATGAAAGAAAATCAATAGGATAAGTAGCAGATTCTTCAAGACTGGGAACATCTTGCCCTACTTAATAGAAAAAGCAAAAAGATTCTTAGAAATTTATGATAATCAGGGAGAAGGAATATGAGTGACTAACAATAACCAACACTGTTGAACATGGTGTGTTCAACACTATTATGTGCATAGTTGGAACTATTCTTGTCTCTATATACATAAGGAATTAGTTACACTGAGGCTAAGCAATTTGGTACATGATGGAACTAGACTTCAGACTCAGGTTTGTCTAACTCCAGAACCAGTAGACTTTATCAATTACCATAATATTAGCAGTCACTTCCTTCAAAGGGCGAAGGCCAAGGACCGTGGTTTAGGGATAGGATATCTTCTGTACCTCACTCTCGAACCTCATCTCCCAGTACTCTCAGCCTCCACCACATGCTCCAGCAAAGTTTCCCCTCACGCACTTCTGGTTTTCATGCCTCAGTGCTTTCAAGCCAAAAGTTCTCTGAGCCCAACATTTTCCTACCAAAATGCCTGTCTTTCTCATTATGAGTCTAAACTTTGGAGTAAGCTTTTAAATAAAAAGAAAAATACACACATATATATACACCATATATATCATACACTCACATATATGATACATATGTATACATATACATCATATATATACACATGTATTAACAAATCATGGATAACACTGCGAAGAATGGGAATTCTAGAACACTTAATTGTGCTCATGCAGAACCTGTACATAGACCAAGAGGCAGTCGTTCCAACACAACAAGGGAATACTGAGTGGTTTAAAGTCAAGAAACGTGTGTCAGGGTTGTATCCTTTCACCATACTTACTCAATCTGTATGCTGAGCGAATAATCCAAGAAGATGGACTAAATGAAGAAGACTCTAACAGCCTGCAATATGCAGATGACACAACCTTGCTTGCTGAAAGTGAAGAGGACTTGAAGCACTTACTGATGAAGATCAAAGACCCCAACCTTCAGTATGGTTTACACCTCAAAGTAAAGAAAACAAAAATCCTAACAACTGGACCAATAAGCAACATCATGATAAATGGATAAAAGATTTAAGTTGTCTGTACCAGGAAAGGTTATGGAAGCTCCATATATGCATCCAAACTCCCTAAGGGACTGAATTGCTGGGTGGAGGGCTGTGGGGACCATGGTCTCGGGGAACATGTAGCTCAACTGGCATAACACACTTTGTAAAGAAAATGTTCTACATTCTACTGTGGTGAGTAGCATCTGGAGTCTTAAAAGCCTGTGAGCAGCCATCTAAGATACTCCACTGGTCTCACCCCTTCAGCAGCAAGGGAGAATGAAGAAAACAAGATACAAGGGAAAGATTGGTCCAAAGGACTAATGGACCACAACTACCACGACCTCCACCAGACTGAGTCCAGTGCAACTGGATGGTGCCCGGCCACCACCACTGACTGCTGTGACTGGGATCACAGTAGATGGTCCTGGACAGAGCTGGAGAGAACTGTAGAACAAATTCTAACTCCCAGAAAAAGACAAGACTTACTGGTCTGACAGAGACTGGAGAAACCCTGAGAGTGTGGCCCCTGGACACCCTTTAGCTCAGTGATGAAGTCACTCCCGAGGTTCACCATCCAGCCAAAGATTAGACAGCCCCATAAAACAAAACGAGACTAATGGGGCACAACAGTCCAGGGACAAGGACTAGAAGGCAGGAGGGGATAGAAAAGCTGGTAATAGGGAACCCAAGGTTGAGAAGGGACAGTGTTGACATGCTGTGGGGTTGTTAACCATAGTCATAAAACAATATGTATACTGTTTAATGAGAAACTATTTGTTTTGTAAACCTTCATCTAAAGTACAATAAAAAAAATTAAAAAAAGAATGAAAAGCACATGATCATCCTAAAAAAAAAAAAAGATTTGTCAAGGATTTCCTTTTACCTGGATCCACAATCAACATCCATGGAAGCAGCAGTCAAGAAGTCAAATGGCATATTACGTGGGGCAAATCTGCTGCAAAAAACCTCTTTAAAGTGTTGAAAAGCAAAGATGTCACTTTGAGGACTAAAGTGCACCTGACCCAAGCCATGATATTTTCAGTCACCTCATATGCTTTCAAAAGCTGGACAATGAATAAGGAAGACCAAAGAAAAATTGACACCTTTGAATTATGATGTGGGAGAATTTCAGATACACAATGGACTGCCAGAAGAATGAACAAATCTCACTTGGAAGAAGTACAGCCAGAATGAACAAATCTCTCTTGGAAGAAGTACAGCCAGAATGCCCCTTAGAAGCGAGTATGGCAAGACTTCATCTTACGCAATTTGGATGTGTTATCAGGAGGGACTAGTCCCTGGAGAAGGACATCATGCTTGGTAAAGTAGAGGGTCAGCAAAAAAGAAGACGACCCTCGATGAGGTGGATTGACACAGAGGCTATAACAATGGGCTGAAGCATAACAATTGTGAGGATGGTGCAGGACCGGGCAGTGTTTCTTTCTGTTGTACATAGGGTTGCTATGAGTCAAACAGAATCAACTTGACGGCGCCTAACAATAACATCATACATATATGATATATATGTGTGGATAGCTGTACGTGGAGCCCTGATGGTGTAGTGGTTAAGAGGTTGGCTGCTAACCAAAAGGTCGGCAGTTCAAATCCACTGGCAACTCCTGGGAAACCCTGTGGGGCAGTTCTACTTTGTGCTATAAAGTTGCTATGAGTCAGAATCGACTTGATGGCAAGGGGTTTGGTTTTTTTATGGCTATACATATATATGTTATACATAATTAATAATCAAACTAAAGCCTTTTTAAGATGTCACTCTGGTTAACATTGTGTTTTATAGGGAAGAAAAAGGATCGTGGTGGTAGAATATAATTTTCTTTGAAATTTTAAACACAAGCATCTCAACACTTTGTTAAACTGCTGTTAAAGGATTCTGTCTTTTTAACCTTGTCTCTAGAGCCTAGCGTAATGCCTGCCACATATTAGACAGTCAGAGGTGTGTTGAACTAGATTTTCCTTTCTCTAGCCCAATTTTCTCTTTGGTTTCACTAAAGATTGTAGTTTGCTCCTCTAATACTCATTGCACTTGTTGTTTTGGGAATAAATTTAGTTACCTGTAAAAGAAAACTTGACTACTAGTGGTTTAAGCAATTATTTCAAAGTAACTGCAGTCCAAGACTGATGAAGCAACTCAAGGATGTCAAGAAACCTGCTGTCTTATTTATCTACCATCCTTAGTCTAGGTCTTTTATTCTCATGGTTGAAAGATGGCTGCTGCACCTCCAAGCATCGTATCTCCATTCTAGGAAGGAGAAGATAGAGTGTTAGAGGGCAAAGAGTAAACAAGTATGATCGTCAGAAGGCTTTGCCTTATGCTTGGGAATGGAAGCCCTCCCCAGTGCCTCCCACTGGTATTTCATTAGACAGAACTATGACACATAGGCACCTCTAGCTGCAAACATGGTTAGGAATTGGAATATTTGGCTTTTCAGTCTCTGTAGATGTTGAAGTGTGTATTGATTGAGTCAACCTATAGGTCTGCCTTACAGATTTTCTAGTTATTTTGTTTATTTTTCCTGATATATTGTAAGCCCATGGAGGACAAAGAATGTGTCACTATGACAAGTGACTACAATAGCACTTAGCACAGTGTCTAAGATATTGTCGCTAATTGATTTAGAAGTAAGAACCTGGCAAGAACTAGTGACTCTGGTTTCTCTGAAAATGATGTAATCTGTAGGTTTACCTTTGGTGAGTCATTCCTCATATCAACATTGGCAAATTACCTGGAGCTTTCCTGCTTCATCAATTTGGGTCATTAGAGAGGACAATTTGACAGTAAATTGCCTGGAAGGAGTCATTGAGAGTTCCTTGGAAACCCTATGGGGCAGTTGTACTCTGTCCTATAAGGGTTGCTATGAGTTGGAATCGACTCGACAGCAATGGGTTTGTTTGGGTTTATTGCTTGGAATGTTTTGAAGTTATAACTCAAAATACAGGATGGGGGAGAAATATAAAAATATGGTTGGTCAGCAAGGAATTTTTCAAGAGAGATGAAAAGATAGGTAAGAATGAGGATAATATATTGGAATCACAGAAAAAATTAGGAATTGGAAGTTGAAATAGTCTAACTTAAAATGTTTTAGCTGTTCAGAGTTCTAAGGGAAAAGATAAGTACAAATTATTCATTTAGTTAGATTTTCAAATTGCTTATTTTTACTGTTTTTCTTTCAAAATAGAACCTGTTCCTCTTCCCTCTGTCATCTTTTTTTTTTAAATTATACATCATGAGGGACGAAGATAAAACAATCGAACATGCAGATTCAGAACAATCCACAGAAGTGAATCCCACAGCCTCTGCGCATCAAGAAACCCAGGTAAATCTCATCAAGTGTAGAACATCCCAGCCGTTTCTTTAAGGAAGGGATTATCTTCAGTCTATTATTGAATTGTGTTCTCTTCATTCCCTACCGGTTGACTAACAATTCTCCCCATTCTTAATCCCCAGACTCAAACAGTCCAGGTCAGGTGTGACTAGCAGTTTCCCAGCTAAAGCCGTTAGCAGCTGGCCCTTACATGAGACTGGAAAAATGGAGGCCTGTGAAAATCTTTGTGTTCCCAACCTAAACCGTAGAATGATTTTGGTTTATTTTCCCTTCTATTTCTTAAAATTCAAGTAGATGAATGAATGTGAATTTTTTTTTTTTTTTTACCACAGATAGTTATCTTTTCCCGAACAACTTTGGTATTTTTGCTATTGCCCTGTATCTTATCTTAAATATTGTGATTTTTAAACCTAACCCCTCCAAAAAAACCCACTGCCATCATGTCAGTTCTGACTCATAGTGACTGTATAGGACAGAGTAGAGCTGCCCCATAGGGTTTCCAAGGCTGTAATCTTTAGGGAAGCAGGCTGTCACATCTTTCTCCCAGGAAGCAGCTGGTGGGTTTGAACTGCTGACCTTATGTTAGCAACCCAGTGCTTTAACCCCTGCGCCACCAGGGCTCCTATTTTAAACCCAGCATAATGAAATTTAATATGACTCAAGCATTTATTCCACAAATAGTGACTCAGTGCTAAATATAACACAGTTCTTGTTCTAAGCATCAGCTGATTAGCTAGTAATAAAGCTGTGTATTTTCCTATAAAGTGTTAGCCTTGATTCTAGTAATGGAAATTTGATTTGTGATATGATGACTCAGAACCTATAAAAATGTATGGCAAATACACAGTTTTAAGGACATATTTTGCTCCTTTCGACACAGGAGGAGCCGGTTATGAACCTCGGGAGTGCAGATGGAGGTGAACCAACAGAAGGAAGTAACCTACTGAATAGTGAAAAAAAGCTACAAGAAACACCAACTGAATCAAATCATTTGCAGAGACTGAGACAAACATTTGCTTGCCCTCCACATGGATTACTGGATAGAGTAGTAACAAATGGTATGTAAACATAAGAACGAGAGCGTTACAGATGAAATTGTTATAATGAGAGATCCCAAAATAATATGATTTAAAAGAGAAAAAGCAGTTTACTTCTCTCTCACATGAAAAGTCCTAGGTGAACAGTCACACTGCTAGGTGGCTTTGTTCCACATGGTCATTCAGAGACCCCCACTGACAAGGCTTTGCCATCTTTAACATGGAGCTTCCAAGATCTCTGTGGTCACCCCCATTCCAGCCATCAGGAAGGGGAAAAGAGCAGAAATCACGGTATTTTCCGTTTTCCTTTTCCTCATCTCAGTAAGCATGTCAAAGGATTACTTTAGGGTTCCAATGAAAAAGATGTTCCTGAAATCATTTGTAAACAGATAAGCACCACATTAATGTTGGTTGTTATTACTATTAAGTAATACAACTAATATTCAAGCAAACACATCTCAATTTATACTTTTAAATGAATCCTGTCATTTTATAAGTAAGGATCTTGGCTTGCAATTCAGCTCAGTCTAATAGAGCTGCCATGACTAAGACATTTCTGGGATTTTCTTTGGGAATTTATCTCAGCACTATTGTGAATATATTGTTAGGGTTGGATTTGGTCTTTGGAAGCATCCAAAAGTTATTCTGATATCAATTTGATGAATACAATGGATGTTCAGATGCAGTAATGCCATTTTTTTTTTTCTTGTTCGAAAAAGAAGTATATATGTGTGTGTGTGTTGAGGGGTGTGTAAGACAGCAGGGGAAAGAAGAATGCTTTTGAAAATTTAAAGACAATTTCAAAATTATTTTGAGGAATGACAGCATCATTGGAGTAAATATGTGATCTCCTGAGATAAATATGTTGAAGAATGTAATACATTTGATCTAAAAGTTATGATTACTGAAAAAATCAGACTCAGTTCTTTATAGGTACACTTGATGTATGAGTTCTGAAAAACATGTTTACCATTCTCATCTGGTACTCTGGGAAAGCCAAGTATGATATGCTATATTTTAGGCTCTAGATGTGTTTTCAGTGAAATTAGGTAAGGTTCTAAAAGCATGGGGGGGAAAAAGTCTCAAATTTTATTTGAAACAAAATAAATATGTACTAATATACAGTTTCCAAAATATATACTAGCTAATAAGGCAACAGATAATTTAATACCTTTTCTGTCCTTTTTATTATTTTGTATAACTTTTACCTTTCAAATTATGCCACATTTCTAGTTAAAACAATCATGATAAAATAGATACAGATTGACATAAAGAAAAGATTAAAATGAATAATATGATTTGGAGACTCAGCTTTTTATAAAAATTCTATAATCATTGTCCATACCCCAAACCAAACTCATTGCCATCGAGTCAATTCCGACTCCCAGTGACACTATAGTACAGAGTAGAACTGCCCCATAGAGTTTCCAGGAAGCACCTGGTAGATTCGAACTTTTGGTTAGCAACTGTAGCTCTTAACCACTATGCCACCAGGGTTTCCTGTTGTCCATAGGCTGCCTGAAAAATCAAGCTCAGTGTATATAAACACCTCTTCACTTGTTTTCCTGTATTTCTGTTCCTCAAGCTTACATACAGTACTGCTTTTGTCCTATACTCCTTCCTGGGCCCATTCAGTATACACTAAGTATTCTTCTCAAGAAGTGAATCTTACGTATAAAAAAATATGACTTTCCAAAGTTACAAATGAATTATAAATTATTAACTGAATTAGAAGCAATTTAGGGGAACCTTATAAGTATGCATTTTCTATGTATTTAGACTCACCCAGCGCTTCACAGTTTACAAAGAGCTCTATGTGACTTACCTTTAGCAAACCCTGTGCATGTATATAAATATGTAATTTATGGAAAATTAATTAATAGGTAAAAGTAGAAGAACAAATTCTTTTTGCCTCTGGGAAGTGGGCTATGAATTTTTTTTCCTTCTACTTTCTACTTTTGTTATGGTTTTTGATTTTTTTAAATAGTTTTTTTGTAATATTAGAAATGTTTTCATAAATTTCATTTCCTGATAACAACGTAATCCTCTGTTATTTTATATATTCGATAGTTGTTTATTGTAGATTGTGTGCTGCCCAATATATATCTTTTGTATTATTAAAATTTCTGATAAACAATACATCTTTTATATTATTAAAATGTGTAACATAAACTTATGTATTATATAAATCTTAGAGTTAGTGAACAAGCATTATTAAGACCATTTTGATTGAAAAGCACTAAACTAGACTTGGAAGAAAAAAAAGAGAAAAATTGAAGCCTATACATGCATTTAAAGAATTCATAGTCTAATTAGAAGGTTAAAATATACAGTTGAGAGTAACAGGAAATATAGTTGTTATTCTAAGACTGGAAAGCAGGCATCTAAACGCCTTAAATTAAAATGTAATATAGTAGGACCTATATCATGAGACTTGAAAGAAACAAGAATGTTTTAATATACGGTTTTCTAAATACTGGTAGTTTCTTTAGCTACTGAGGTGTTCACTACTTACTACACAAGATTTATTTAAGAAAACAATTTTTAAATGATATCAAAGGCTACATGTGACAATTTATTGCTAGAAACTAGTTTTCCTGATTTATTTCAGTTACCATGGTTGTTCTTCTGTGGGCTGTAGTTTGGTCAGTAACTGGCAATGAATGTCTCCCTGGAGGAAACCTATTTGGAATCATAATCCTGTTCTATTGTGCCGTCATTGGAGGTAAACTGGTGGGGCTCATTAAGCTACCTACATTGCCTCCACTGCCTCGTCTTCTTGGTAAGTGCTAACCACTTCCTATTTTCTTCAGAGTAAATCACGTTTTTTTTTTAAATAGTAGTTTGGAAAGTTTTGGGGGAATAAAAGCGTATTTGGTGTGCTGGAGCCTATTTGTACCAGCTCGCAAAAGCCAATTTTAAATTTTGAGGAATTTTGTGAGCCAGTTGTTAAACATGTCTATTTTAAAATTTTAGATTACATAAGCTTAAAATTAAATAATTTATATTAAAGAGCAGTAAATACTCAAAATTTATCACTTTCTAATGATTTTACTACGTTTTCCCCTTATCTGTGCTCTGATTGTCTATTGTATCTTTATGGTGGAAATACTATATGATGGTGTGCTACTGTGCATCTTCCCAGCTCCACCTTCAGTGATGTCATGTTGGTAGCTTAAAACTGGCCATGTTGGGAGTATCTATACCAGAGTCAGAAAATGCTACAAATTAGGGATTGATACATTGTTTTGTTGATTGTTTTGTCAATTGTCTAGACTTAAAATGTTAATGGAGAAAACGTTAATAATTCAGATAAAACTTAAAAGTATGTCATGTCTGTAGCCTTTGTCTTATAAGTAGCACAAAAAAATTGAGGATATTTTCTTCTAGTATTCAAAAACTAATTTCTGATTTGGCAAAGAAGTCACTTATATATGTCACACTCTGCCATATATCTTGTTTGATTTTCATCTTATTTCATCAAAAACAAAAAACAAAACCCAATTCCAACTCATAGTGACCCTATAGGACAGAGTAGAACTACCCCATAGGATTTCCAAGGAGCGCCTGGTGGATTCGAACTGCCAACCTTTTGGTTAGCTGTGGTAGCTCTTAACCACTAGCCACCAGGGTTTCCATCACATAACCTAAAATACCAACTAACATTCATGGCAAAACTATACTTGTTCATCAATGATGAGTGATTTCTTTGCTGAACCAGATAGTAATCAAGCATTATTTGTAATCTGATTTTGTCAAGTCATGGCTGAACTGCAACCATCGTTGGTTATGAATCCAGTTCAGCAAAAATCAATGAGAGCATCCTGTGAGAATCAGTCGGCTATATGGAATTTACAGTGAAGAGTATTGTATATTTGGGAATTGTGTGCTGCACAATGTATCTTCTATGTTATTAAAATTTATAATAAAGAATATCATTTATATTATTAAAAATGTATAGTAAACTTATGTGCAAATGAAAAGGTGCATACATTTTTGGAGAGCCGGTTGTTAAGCATTTAATAGTACACCTCTGGGTATATTTAAAATATAATATCATGGTCTTAAAAAATTTAGACAGAAATGTTCTTCTAGAGGCAGTGAGAATGCCCACCCAGGACATTCATGCAAATTACTCTTAAAACTAGCTATTATGCCTTTAATATTTCTTTTTGAAATTCCATTAATTACAAAATTTCAATTTACCACTTTTAAGTTTACCATAAAAGGTGTTTTGTGTTCATTTCTAACAAATTTACTAATCACTAAGTTTTTTTCAAAAACCACTTATCTTTTACACATACATATATATTTGCACACATTCCTCAAACTACAAGGGTCGTTGTTGTTGTTGTTAGCTTATAGTAGTGAGGAAAATCAGAGTTGTTAACTTAGGCCAAAATTATTTGCTTTTGAATTTGTGGTCAGCAGTTGAAGCCAAATATAAAAAAAGAACTAGAATTATTTACATCTTATTATGAACTGTTTCTCAATATATTTTTAAATTTTAGGGAAACTGAAGTTATGTCACTTAACTTATTTACTTCTCATGGACACTTTTTGTTCCCTGAAGTTGTTACTAAGGAGCCCTGGTGGCACAATGGTTAAGTGCTTGACTGCTAACTGAAAGGTGGGAGGTTCGAACCCACCAGCAGCTCCACAGGAGAGAAGACCTGGTGATCTGCTTCTATAAAGATTATAGCCTGGGAAACCCTATGGGGCAGTTTACTCTGTCCTAGAGGGGCAGTTCTCCTGTGTCCTGTAGGATCGCTATGAGTCAGAATCAACTCAACAGCCCACAACAGTGGCAGAGTTATTAATGGAATTATTTTTAAAATGAGTTGTTTCCAGTTAGGCCTGTGTACTAGAGATCAGGGGTTGGCAAGCCACCTGTTTTTTGTCCATAAATTTTTATTGGAACACGTCTAGGCTCATTTGTTTACATATTATGTATGGCTGCTTTTGTGCTGCAATAGCTGAGTTTTGAACTTGTAACAGAGACTGTATGACCAACAGAGCCTTAAAATATATATTGTCTGACCGTTTACAGCAAACGTTTGCTGACCCCTGCATCTGTATCAGTGCCTCTCAAACTTTATTGTAAATAAGAATGACCTTCGGATTGAGTTAAAATGCAAATTCTAATTAAATAAGTCTGAGATGGGGCCTGAGATTCTGCATTTCTAGTAAACTCTAAGACTATGCTCTAAGTAGAAAGATCATTAGTTCTCAAGCCTGGCTGCACATGGCAGTCATCTGGGGAATTTTTTTAAATGCTGATGCCTGGGCCCCACCCAGAGATTTTGAATTAATTAGTATGGAGTACAGCCTGGGCATTAGAATTTTTAAAATCTCCCCAAGTGATTCTAATATTATAATATGAAGCTGAAGCTGAAGACTACTGTTTTAGACTCTGTTAAAATGTTCTTTACTCCTCAGCTTCTTTTTACCAATCCAAGTCTATTATTGCAACAAGCAAAATACACCACATTACAAAGAAAGAAAGCTTTGTGATAATCACATGAAATCTCCTGAGATAACTGAAAATATTCTGGAAAGTACATACATGACGTATCTTATATCTCTTTTTATAGTGTTACACTTGTGATGAGAAAATTTACTTTTTTTTTACAGTATTAGATCTAGTATCCAAAGCCAAAACATTGTCTGAATCCAATAAAGAAGACATATTAAGACACAGAATACATGTGATGATTGCCTGTTCTATATATTTATGAGTTTATTGAAATAATTGCCAGGGATGGGTGATTAGGGAGCATATTTGTTTGTTTCTGAAATGAATGTGAAAACAATTTCCCTGAGACACTTTTCCCTTGCCAGTGGCCTGGTTTTGATGTGGCAGGTGTCTCCTTCTTGCTTTCAGCCCATGGGGACCTCTCCCTTGATTGAATACCTTCCCTGATAGAGGAGTATTATTTTCTCTAAAAATTTTTGTTATAGAAATTTTTTAAGTAGACAAAAATTATCAATACATGGGCAACCTTGTTTCAGCTACTCCCAAGTTATTTTAAAGCAAATCATTATTGAAAAAAACTGGCTTTGTACTGTAATGTTTCACAGAATCTGAATTTGACTGATTATATCCCAGTGGTGGCATTTAGCACGTTCCTCTGTCCCTTTTATGTAAATTCATCGTTGATCAGGTTTGTTTCTGTATGACCCACAAAGCTTAAAATATATATTACCTTTTTTTTTTCTCAAGACTACTTCATAGGTCTCCCACGTGTCTGTCAGTTTGACATACAGTGGGGGCTTGCATGTTGCTGTGATGCTGGAAGCTATGCCACCGGTATTCAAATACCAGCAGGGTCACCCATGGCAGACAGGTTTCAGCTGAGCTTCCAGACTAAGACAGGCTAGAAAGAAGGACCCAGCAGCCTACTTCTGAAAAGGTTTAGCCAGTGAAAACCTTATGAATAACAGCAGAACATTGTTTGATATAGTGCTGGAAGATGAACCCCTCAGGTTTGAAGGCACTCAAAATACGACTAGGGAAATGCTGCCTCCTTAAAGTAGAGTTGACCTTAACAACATGGATGGAGTCAAGCTTTTGGGACCTCCATTTGCTGATGTGGCACGACTCAAAATGAGAAGAAACAGCTGCAAACATCCATCAGTAACTGGAACATGGAATGTACGAAGTATGAATCTAGGAAAGCTGGAAATCATCAGAAATGAAATGGAATGCATAAACGTTGATATCCTAGGCATTAGTAAGCTGAAATAGACTGGTATTGGCCATTTTGAATCCAACAATCATATGGTCTGCTATGCCAGGGATGACAGCTTGAAGAGGAATGGCACTGCATTCATTGTCAAAAAGAACATTTCAAGATCTGTCCTGAAGTACCGTGCTGTCAGTGATAGGATAATATCCGTACACCTACAAGGAAAACCAGTCAATACAACTGTTATTCAAATTTACGCACCAACCACTAAGGCCAAAGATGAAGAAATTGAAGATTTTTGCCAACTTCTGCAGTCTGAAATTGATTGAACATGCAATCAGGATGCACTGATAATTAGTGGAATTGGAATGCAAACATTGAATCAGTAGTTGGAAAATATGGCCTTGATGATAGAAACAATGCCAGAGATCGAATGATAGAATTTTGCAACACAAACGACTTCTTCATTGCAAATACCTTTTTTCACCAGCATACATGGTGACTATACACCTGGACCTCACCAGATGGAATAGACAGGAATCAAATCGACTACATCTGTGGGAAGAGATGATGGAAAAGCTCGGTATCATCCGTCAGAACAAGGCCAGGGGCCAACTGCGGATCAGACCATCAATTGCTCATATGCAAGTTCAAGTTGAAACTGAAGAAAATTAGAACAAGTCAACGAGAGCCAAAGTACAACCTTGAGTATATCCCACCTGAATTTAGAGACCATCTCAAGAATAGATTTGACGCATTGAACACTAATGACTGAAGACCAGAAGAGTTGTGGAATGACATCAAGGACATCATACACGAAGAAAGTACAGGAAAGATAAAAATGGATGTCAGAAGAGACTCTGAAACTTGCTCTTGAATGTCGAGTAGCTAAAGCAAAAGGAAGGAATGACAAAGTAAAAGAATTGAGCAGAAGATTTCAAAGGGCAGCTGGAGAAGACAAAATAAAGTATTGTAATGATGTGCGCAAAGACTTGGAGATGGAAAACCAAAAGGGAAGAATATGCTCTGCATTTCTCAAGCTTGAAGAACTGAAGAAAAAATTCAAGCCTTGAGTAGCAATATTGAAGGATTCTATGGGGGAAAATATTAAATGACTCAGAAAGCATCCAAAGAAGGTGGCAGGAATACACAGAGTCACGATACCAAAAATAATTACTCGATGTTCAACCATTTCGGGAGGTACCATATGAGCAGGAACTAATGGTACTGAAGAATGAAGTCCAAGCTGCACTGAAGACATTGACGAAAAACAAGGCTCCAGGGATTGACGGAATACCAGTTGCGATATTTCAACAAATGGATGCAGCGCTGGAAGTACTCACTCGTCTATGCCAAGAAATTTAGAAGACAGCTACCTGGCCAACCGACTGGAAGAGATCTATATTTATGCCTATTCCCAAGAAAGGTGATCCCACTGAATGCGGCAGTTATCGAACAGTATCATTAATATCACACGCAAATAAAATTTTGCTGAAGGTCATTCAAAAGCAGCTTGCAGCAGTATATCGACAGGGAACTGCCAGAAATTCAAGCTGGATTCAGAACAGGATGTGGAACCGGGAATATCATTGCTGATATCAGATGGATCCTGGCTGAAAGCAGAGAATACCAGAAAGATGTTTACCTGTGTTTTATTGACTATGCAAAGGCATTCGACTGTGTGGATCATAAC